CGCGGCTTCGCTTACCACGCCCACCAGCGCGGTACATTACGATTGTCATGTCACATATCCATCTGTTCGTCTGCGCGCAGTGCTTCGCAGAAAAGTTCAAGTTGTTGCGTGACCTTGAACCCTGCCGGCTTGAAGCAGCCTTATGGTTCCATCTTTCAGTCCGTTGTGCGGAAAACTGGTGCGCGACTTAAGGGACACTCCGTAGGCTACACTAGCCATGAGACAATATGTTAAATATTGTATGAATAGCCAACTCTGAGTAGACTAGAAGCTCAATGGCGTCGTGGCGACTTCCGATGAAGCATACGTGCAACACGAGGGGGCATGCGTTCACTTATACAACGTAAAGCTCCTCTACATACACTTAGATATTCCACGATTCGTGGACGAGTTCAAATCGCTTGGAAGTGAGAAACGACCTGTTGCAGGCCGAGTTCGATCTTTGATTGTTCCCTGATTTCGAATTTTTTCACTTTTCCAGTTACTGTGAGCGGGAATTCGTGCTCCTTCTTGAAAAGGATATAGCGTGGAATCTTGAAGTGAGCGATCTAAACAAAATTTTTCCTTTTCAGGTCCAAAATTATAAAAATTGAAAAAGTCTCTACCTTTCCTTTGCACCAGTTCTTGATGTGCTCCTCATTAATTTCACCAACAGCCGATTCGTGTAATCGAATCCAGGCACATACCGATTCGCCGTATCTTTCGTCAGGTACACCAACAATCTGAATGGCTCTCTTATAGGTATTGATTGGTATTGATCCAATTACATCCAAGCGGAGGACGTCCAATATGTGCGCCTTAGGTGCAATCCTCATATTTTTGTACCACACAAGAAAAGGGAAAATGCGGGAAAAATTGAAAAAAAATTTCAACAACTGGAAAACAGCCCTATGAAAAAGTACTCGGACCTACTGAACTAAGATATAGCGCCTTTCCCCTGATGGATAATCCGAACACGATGCCCGGGAATTCTGGGCCATTAGACAACGTTCTTTGGGCTTCTTAGGATGCGAGTCAAGAGTCCGTTGCCGCGCACCGTAGAAACTATACGTCATACCGAAGAGATAAGGAGGGCGTGGCTGCGCACTACATTTGGACATGGCGTAGGACCGTAGGTAGGCGTGAATGAAGTGCGTAGTGACGCCTCAAACATCTTCGGAATATGGAGTTTAGCTCCGGCGTAGAACGGTATTTCCTAACTAGTTGGTTTGACTTGTTGTTGCACCTAGGCAGCGTTTAGACTTCGCGATGACGCGCGTCAAAGCACTACCTTCGCTACAGCACCCTAGTGCTACGTGCGTCATCGCGAAGTTTGATACGCGCCGGGGCCTTCTGGCATCAAGTAAATTCGTCATTGAGGCCGCATGATGCGTATCAGGCACCATCAGGGTTAGCCGCTATGCGTTGTGTCCCAGAACCCATGGGGGGGGGGGTCGTACTGTTTGCCTCTGGGGAGGGGGTGCGTATTTGAAAACAAGTATTTGTGGATGAGTTGATTTTTTTTCTGGTGGAATAAGGGGGGGGGTCCGTGAGTAGATTGTTTGTTATATGCGACTAATGGCAGCTATATGCATTTTGTACGGCGCGTGGACGTTGCATATATTGCCTACACCCCTCCCCCGCTCGACAACTGTTTTTCGGCCGACTGTATACCATCGCTGCCGGCCGTCGGCGGAGAGAGCCGTGAGGCGGAGGAGGGGGGTCCGTGCCTGACCCCATTCGAAGTGGGGGGGGGGAGTCGGTACTCACCACCCGACATTTTCGCGCATCCCCCATGGCTGTACCTGGCACCCATAATCAACGCCGCTCCCGGGCCACTTCGCCGAACTCAGATCTCCTGACACTTATCCCGAACTTGGAAATGAACGAATAGGAGCAAACGGAAGTATAATTAGTTCAGCAAGCCACAAAACTGCTAGTTTTGACGGGAAACTTCTTTCCAGATGAGTGTCGCTCAGAACAATCTGACTTTCATTTCAACGAGGAAGAACTCACATGGGCGTCTTCGATCTTTGGATGCTTGAAGAGGAATTGCTCGACCTCAGTTGGGTAGATGTTCTCACCACCCCGTACAATCATATCCTTTGAGCGGCCAACTATTGAGATCGTACCATTGTCATGCATCACAGCAATGTCACTGAACCATCGAGCAATCATCTCTACTGTTATGAGTTAATTAAAAAAATCACTACGTACCATTCAAATTCGCTTATCAAAAATTCAACTCACCCCGTATGATACCATCGATCCTCAGTGATCTCTTTTTTCGTCTGCTCTTCGCTATTCCAGTAGCACCGCATTACCGAATATCCACGAACGATTACTTCACCCTTTTCACCTCGTGGAAGAATTTTGCCATGCTTGTCAACAATGGCCGCCTGCAAACATAGAAGTGAGCCTTAGGCAAACAATCAGGAAATATAGGCTATGTGGAATATTTCATTTAAAGCTACTAATCGGGATACGCCATGTACATAACTTTCCTTCAGAAACTTCAAGAGAGCAGGATTTCAATGCTCGCTATGGAATGATTCAGAGGCCTGTCATTGTTGTAGTCCGTATGCTCTGCTATGCAGGTGCAGATAACTGCATGATTTCAGTGAGATTGAACGCTTTGTCCCACCATCCTCAGCTCGAATCGGCACCCCCAATTTACGTTCCAAGACTGAGCTAACAGTTCAGGCACTAACATTGTTCGCGGTGCGGACATGGCGGTTGCCAGGCGGGACTGAGTTTGGGCGGCGGCAGCCGCCCGTTCTTCACGCAACTGGTGTCGCCTTGCCCGCTTCATCACTGGTGAACGACGGCTACGGGCTGGCGCCAAACCAGGCCTCGCTGACATGCCCCAGCCTCTGCAGTGAACAAGACTGTATCTCAGTATTGTGCTCCGCCGCCTCATTGGGACCAATGTTTTAAACATGGAGGGGCACTGGAATTCATCAACGCAGCTACAAAGACTCCGAAAATTCAGACGTCCGTGAGACTTACTCTCCAATAGCTCTTAGCCTCTAGCCCCCTAGCCTCATAGGTCCGCCTCAGTGGCTAGGAGCTTCCCTTTTCCCCACCTTAATGGGTCCATACTCTGGAACGCATTGTAAAGGAGAAAACTGGAGAACAGCTCACCTCAAGGTGATCCATGATATGCCCGACACTCTTAATACGCTGTTCGGGTGGATCATCCCGGATTGACATGAATGACACCGGTGACGTCCTCGGTCCGTACCATAGCAGAACCTAAATTGTAAAACTGGTAGACAACAAGTTTGACTGACCGTATATACGCGCACGCCCTCGTCACAGTGATTTCTGAAGAACAGTCCTATGAACATTATGTTCACAATCAATCAGGCCAAGCAGTCATCTATTTTTGGCCTTTTTACTCAGAAAGCACGATTATGCGGCTGCTGTTTCGATTGACTGGCCTATATATTAGGTGATTGAACCCAACAATCGTTGCTCTTCTCACTTAGGTACAAAAACCCAATGAGCCCCCCCCCCCACCGTGCGAACTCGACAAAATAACGAACGTTCCCCCCCCCCCCCGCGTCCTATGGAGTTGTGGGAGGGATGCGGGGACGAACGCTCAGTTCTCTGATATCCACTGTGAGACTCCCATTCAATGATAAAAGGTCCAACTAGGTAACATACTCATATTCCAAGCATGCCAATAAAATAAGCAGTCCAAGCACGGCGCCACTGGTCCCTGATACTTGGCCTGGTCTCTCCTTTTGAGGTTCTGATCCGTTGCTTCTCTCATCGTCGCTGAGCTATACGCAACAAGTCAGATAGATATTCACCAACAACAAAAGTTCATGAAAATCAGTGAAGCTTCCAAAAATTGCCTATTGTATGATCTTCCGAACCATTTCATTACACACATAAGCAAACAACTAAATCAAGGGAATCTAGCATGGGCGGGGCTACGGAAAAATTTGAAGCATCACCAACCTGCATGTCACGCATGTGCATCTCGTTCACCAGACGCCGACACAACGTTATTGGACACGGGGCACCAGCTATGAAACCTGAAATTAAAATGAACTTCAAAATACAAATCGCACTGGACCAAGAGAAATAAAAATCATTCCCCTCCAAGGTTTCTTATGTAAACGTTTCTGGGACAGAAATCAACTCTCGCAGGACTTTTTTTATACCGGTTACTTTTTTTATACAACGGGATTTACGAGAGTTCTCCATCCTGAGGGGAAATACGAGTGCACGGCGTATCCCAACAGGAATTGAAGAAATTGCCAGCGATGTGTTCTTCGGACGACTTCAAGATATAGCGAGGTTTCCACCAAATTATCAGTTTATGAAATTGCATTTCTCGCGTGTTTCACGAAAAAAAAACCGTTCAAGTAAACATAATCACCTGATCGGATGCTATCGTAGTTGTACTGGTGATAATCAGGGTGATTCAACATATCAATGAACATCGTTGGCGTACCGTATAGGGCTGTACATCTGTAATAATAAAATTACATTATTTCCGTAATATATTATAGTAAAACTGAAGTAATATGTATAAGGATTCCCACGATGAAGAAGTATCAGATTCTTCTGGAGGGACTCTGTTATTGTACGATACGTCATGAATTGTATGCTCAAAACGTCATATGGGTAGAGT